AAAAAAAAAAAAAAAAAAAAGAGAGGCCAGAAAGTGGCAGGTAAAACACTGATTGAGGCCAAGCACAGTGTCTCACACCTGCAATCATAGCACTTTGGGAAGCCAAGGTGGGTGGATCATCTGAGGTCAAGAGTTCAAGTCCAGCCTGGCCAACATGGTGAAACCCCATCTCTACTAAAAATACAAAAATTAGCCAGGCGTAGTAGCACTCACCTGTAATCCCAACTACTCAGGAGGCTGAGGCAGAAGAATCACTTGAACCCGGGAGGCAGATGTTGCAGGGAGGCAGAGGTTGCAGTGAGCCAAGATCACACCATTGCACTTCAGCCTAGGTAACAGAGTGAGACTCTGCCACAAACAAACAAACAAATAGAAACACTGATTGAAAGTGCTACCAACTAAAGAAGGTATGATCAATAATGGCAAATACAGTGTTAACAATGGAGAGTTTGCTATGAGAAGTGCTGAAAAGAGGACATTGTGACTTAAAACTTTCTAAAAGGTCATTGATGGGACCATACATTATGCCAATGTTTTAGGAAATCAGTCTGGGAGTAAAATACACACATATTTAAACTGGAACCCTGGCCAGGTGCAATGCCTGTAATCTCAGCATTTTGGAAGTCTGAGGTGGGCGGATCACCCAAGGTCAAGAGTTCAAGACCAGCCTGACCAACATGGGGAAACCCTGTCTCTACTAAAAATACAAAAATTAGCTAGGCACGGTGGCTCATGCCTGTAATTCCAGCACCTTGGGAGGCCAAGGTGGGTTGTCACAAGGTCAGGAGTTCAAAACCAGCTTGACCAACATGGTGAAACCGCATCTCTACTAAAAATACAAAAATTAGCCAGGGATGGTGGCACACACCTGTAATCCCAGCAACTCAGGAGGCTAAGGCAGGAGCATCACTTGAACCTGGGAGGCAGAGATTGCCCCATTGCACTCCAGCCTAGGCAACAAGAGTGACACTCCATCTCAAATAATAATAATAGTGATAAAATAAAACTGGACAACAAGAGTGAAACTCCATCTCAAATAATAATAATAACAAAACCCTGCTTCTCAGAGTTTATCCACAGAAACAGAACTTCATAGAGATATGTATACACAGATACGTATTATAACATTATAATAGGAAACAAAACAAAAACAAGCCTACAAAAATGGCAGTTTTCCTGGTTCAACCTAACCAAAAGAAACTGAAGCCTGCTTAAAAAAAAAAATCGCTGATAAAGTACACAATATAGTCACTGGTGACTTTAAGCCAAAGCAGTTTCAGCAGAGCTATGAGAGCCAAAGCAAAAGTGCAATGAATTAAGAAATGAAGGGGAAACAGGGAGGGAGGGCAGTGGTTTTTCCAAAATCTTGTTGTTAAAGGAAAGAGAGCACTTGGGTGGCTGGAAAGGAATTTGGGGCTGAAGGAATTTGGGAGTTGACTTGGTTAGGGTTGATTGCTCATTTTGTTTTTGAGTTTGAGAAGAATATGATCATATTTATAACCTGAAAGTGATCAAATAAAGAAAGAGAGCGGGGGAAGTGATTCAGAGGCTTCCCAGAGGATCTGGAGCCTAGCAGAATAGATCAGCCTTGGATGGGAGGAGGAGGAGCAGGAGGATTTCCACTTCTAGAGGAAAGGAGAATGAGTGTGGCTGCCTGACCTTCAGCTCCCCTTTCTCCACTCCCACTTTCAAAGACTCTTTCCAGAGGCTGTGGGAGGGACCATGGCAATGATTTAGCATGATCACATGTTTTTATACTATTTGAAAAAGCAAGATTGTTTTAGTATTCATTTTCTTTAAAATATCTCCAAGCTGGGCGAGGTGGCTCACGCCTGTAATCACAGCACTTTGGGAGGCCGAGGTGGGTGGATCACCTGAGGTCAGGAGTTCAATACCAGCCTGACCAACATGGAGAAACTCTGTCTCTA